TGTAGACGAGGCTAACAAGGAAAAGTAACATCAATATCACTGATTTGTTACGTACTGCTATATCGTAAGGGACTGAAAGCAAACAAAATGTTCTGCCACACAGACATGAGTAGATTGAGGTTATCGCCCCACCGTCATGAATGCTAGTCAGATACACCACCCTCCATCCTTTTGTGATGTTAGGCTCTCTTACGTTTAATGTAAATAATGTTTTCTAGTCTACTCTCTGTTTTTTGTACACCTTATCGGGATTCACTTTCTCTACTAGCTCCACGTTACAAGCAATCCAGACAACTTTGACTTCTGTATGATAGGCAAAATATACACGTAGCATGCCAGACTGAGTTTAAGTAAACTAATGGTACATATTGTAATGTATGTGTCAGTTAATATGTAGTTTGCAGATAGGAAGGACAGTGAGCTGGATAAAAAACAAAAAGAAAAGAGAGTTTAAATGATGTTAATAGTTAGTGAGAAAAGGGATATGCTGTCTACTAGAAAAATAAAATATAAAACTGCTTTGAAGATTTAAAAATAATGATTGGAATTTAAATTTAGAGAAAAGTCTCGGGTAGCAACTGAAAGATATAACCTATTACTTTTAGTAGGAGCAAGGGGATTTATCTATCATTTCGTGATACATGTATGGGTGGTTATGAGGACACAATATGTTCGTAGTCTATAATTCGTTTCTGAGGTTTATCTAAATATTTGGTGGACTGTAAAAAGAGTGCCTGGGGACTTTGTGTGAGTTCCGCGAATATTCGATAAATCTCTTTAGAGTCTAGCAACAGCACGAATAGTTTCTTGAACTTAGTGATTGTGTCACAGATACGGATAGTTTTTGATAACCTGTTCCACAATAGACTATATCGTATTACAAAGAAATTACAACGCAATGATTTGTTATGTTTGTCCGTTAATAGTGTATATGCGTTGTTTCTAAGTCTGTAAGCAGTGTTGTGGTTCATAAATGGGCGGTATTTTACGAAGGAGAGACCATTTATCAGTTTATAGAGACGTATTAGGTTGTTTTTGAGACGATGGCGCCATAGAGGATCTAGGGAAAGATGTTTGCATCTTTCTGTATAGTTGAGGTTATGGCCTCATCCGAGCAGTCGCCGTATGAAGCTCCTTTGTACATTTACTACTCGCATTTTGTCCATGATATTCATGTTTGAAAATATGAGTAAACAATATTCAAGTGCGGGCCTTATACATACTTTGAAGAGAGTAAGCTTAGCCTCACTTGTCAAGAAGTTCTTATTTATAAACCCAATTAGTTGTCTGGATTTAGAGATAGTAGTTGAGGGATGTTCTCCTTTAGACTAAATATCCATGAAAGGAAACTCCTTGGTGCTAACGACTCAGCTTCACGTCATTCTTTCTGGTTAAGACAAATCTAGGTGGGCATCCATTGTCCATGAGTATCTGCCGTAGTTTCTCGAGTTTGATGGTGAATGTATCCTCGGGACATATTCGTTTAGCTGCTGTACAAATAGAGTATATCAGGTTTATCTTTTGGTCAAGGTGTTGTAGATGGATTTTCTACCGCAGCAGTTCAATTCGATTCCAATAGACGTATGTTGAACGCACCTTCCCTTAGTTGAATATCAAAACACAATAATTCTAGGAGAAAGTGGTCTATTTATATAAAAGAAATGGAAATACAAACGTTACCTAACAATTGTTACGTCTTCCAATTCGAAATTACTCTGATGAGTATCCGGGTTCCAAAGACTAGGTGAAACTAGTATACTGCGACGATATCAAATCCAAAAATGTGGCTGTAGCCATATTATATATCAAATTTAAACAACATGTGTACAGTTCAGAAGCAAACATAAAAACTTCAATATAAGTACAAAATATAGAAATAATAACAATATACAATGATAAAATCTCAAAATAGAATCAAATAAAATACCAAAATGTCAACAGAAAGAGTCCGTCATGTCATAGCAAAAATGTATAAACATGGAGGGATTTTCCAAAAAACCAAAACATTCAAAAAAGATTCTACAGGTGTATCCAAATTTTCAAATTCATATACTGACCATGCCACGCTGACTTTCAGAATATTTACCTTTGTAGAGAACTTTCAGATCTCCAAATTAACAAAAGGCCTCACAAGTGGAATTCTGAACAAGAACCCGATTCCATTGAGGACTAAATTGATTGATGACAGCTAATAAACTTCTCCAGAAAGTAATTCACATTGATATATTTATCATAAGTAATAAAAGTGCCATCTATATACCTCACTAGCTGTGAAAGCCTTAGCTTATATATCATTTAAATCATGCTTCAGATACCATGCTTTATCTGCTTTTCTGGAAAGAATCTGATCTACTTCAATCCTGCATTGATCATCTCATTGGATTCAATTCTGGTTCTTAAAACTTCTGGGTTACTGGGTTTTACATGGCAAAACGGTCTTAATAAGGTTTCCTAGATAAAGTTCAGGATTCCATGAGGGGCCAGCATTTCTTGGTTTATGGTTAGCGTGATGTACCTACTTTTGGATTTTCACTTTTACAATATACATTACCTTGTCCCGCGACCGAAGTATGTTTCCATCGGTTCACTGCGGAAATGAGTGTCGGACATTACAGGGGTAGGCTTCCTAGTTAATTCAAAATATCCTGGGGTTTGTGCTGTGAAGGTGGTTTAATTAAATCACTATCTTTTTGTTTTGCAGAACACGAAGAATCATTAGGAAAATATCACTTATCTTTCTCTTCATTTCTGACTTCATTAGTGCTCTCCCGATTGTATTCACATACCTTTCAGCCTAGTCCTTCAGTTGTGCGTTTTATGGAGGTGAACGGACATGCTAGAAACTTTTGAGAAGATGGAATTAATCACTCTAATCGCTAAGGCGCCTGTCCCGGCAGACTAAACAAGGTCTGGTCAAAAACTCCCTCAGGACTTAATAATACATTTATCTTACTACCATGAAGTATGCCGACATTCAAACAAGAATCACAACATTTGACAATAAAACTCACCAAAATAGCTTTCTGAGCGTACAGGCATCGTAGCAAAAATAGACCAGATAAGGATGTCAAGTCGTTCGCTGCGAAAATTCCAATTCCAAGATCCAGTAGAAAGGTAGATCCGGGTACTGACTCGCTTACTTACTTACGCCACCAGATAGCACCATTCAGCTAACCCTGTCCTGAGACTTTCTTCCTTGTTATATCCAATTGTTGTTAATTCTTTTCATGTCCCATACCAATTTTCATCCTTATGTGTTCTTTAATCGTCCTCGTTTTCTTTGTCCTTGAGGATTCCCAGTAAGGGCTAATCTCGTGACGCAGTTGGATGCTTTCTTCGATGTGTGTACTGTCCACCCCTAGAGGGTTTTCCTAATTACTTCGTGAGATATGATTCGATTTGTTCTCGATAGTAGGTTATTGCCGATGGTGTATGGCCAACGAATCCAGAGTATCTCCCGTGAAAAATTACTGACAAACACTTGTATCGTAATGATGATGGCTTTCGTGATTTTCCTACTTTCCGCTCCATGTAATAGGACTGTATTGACGTTTATATTGGCACCTTTATTGTTGGAGACTGCTTTACCATCCTTCGTACTGAATGACCATTCTGGTTTACTATATTTTCCAGCAGTTTTCTTTGTTTTATCATATGGTTGTCTGTTTCTTTATCTTGATGCTTTTTCCTCTGTCAATGCTAGATCTCCAACATATTTACGTTTGTCAGCTCAGATGCTCCTCTCAACGTGCTTTTGTGCTTCTGTGTATTCAGCTCGTGTTTTGATCTTCCCTGGTTGCAATACTGATTTCTGTCTTCGTTTTCCTCGTTATTTTAAATCTCTATCGAGTAACCATTGCGATCTTTTCCTCACTGTGGGGCTGCTTGTGGCCCAGAACCTTATGAAATGCTAAAGTTATTGTTGCCTTAATTCATTTCCATTTCTTGTCTGTTTTAGCTTCCTCTCCGTCTAGTAGATGGAGATTAGCTTACTGAACAGAAAGTAAAGATGCTGTTGCGTCAGGACTCAAAAACTTTGAGACAAGCAAATCACAGTTAGATGATACTACCCGTTAGTCTAGGTCGTTTGATATCATGCCAGTCTATAAGTAACTGTGACATACGCAAAGACAGTCTACAATGAATAACTTCTATAGACTATGACATTGGCTTGAACCCAGTCGAAACACTGATATAGGCGCAAGAACAAGATTTGAGCACAAAGAAATTAATTGGTGTATACTAGCTCATGAAAAAATATTGGATAGATTGGATGTACTGGTCGCGAAGTTTGTGTTAGCATTTCCTCTTAGATATCAGCATTAAACTGCCAAATACCTGTAATTTTAGCGAAAGAACCAGAACTGAGAGTAATGAAGCTAATCGGTTAATACTAGCCTATTATTCTCCACATTAAAACTAATCGATCTCCGGTCTGGTAATGTAAAAGATGCTGTTATCCAGAAAGCCTACTGCCCTGAAACAAACGTTTTCATCCAAATCACGGGACACGAAAACTCACAAACTGCCAACTGACTAGAATTAGAGATTCGAATGACTAGACCACCATTTATTGGACACTACCAAAAACCTGATACCGTACCGAAAGCACAAGCGTCGAATGCGCAGATATATATTAGCTTACGCTAGCTCGTGAGACACACATTGGATATTGGTTTTTTTCTTGAATAATATGTTCGCTCCCTAATCTTCTCCAACACTGCTTATACTCCTACTATCTCTACCACTATGAGATTTGAATTGACGACTGCGTCTCTGTGCTAATGTGGTATGGTAACTTGCACACTGATGTATGTTCGTATGAAGTTTACGTTGTCACTGACTGACTCTATTAAATCGCGAAAGTGAAACAATAAAACCGTGAAATCCATTTGACAAACAATATCTTATTTATTAGTATGACAGTAATCAGACAGTTATGTTCGATAAAGATTTTTCTTGTTCCATGTTACAACCGCAATATACATAAGTTCCGACAATTATCCAAATCTATAAAACGCATCTGAAAATAAGAAAACAAGAAAGATAGAAACATGTACAGTTACGTCATTATAAGAATAAGTAAATTCAATGGAATGAATCATATTTAAAAAAAACCATATCACATCTCACCATCCTTGTTACCACCTGCTTCAGGTCTGGCTAGTACTAACATCTGTAATTGAATACAACTAATCAAACTACACATCACAATCAATTTGGTCATAAGACGTTTTTGTGTTTGAATTAAATTCATAGTCACAATGATGAGTTGAATACTCCAACCTACACTTCCATATTTATAGACACGCCATGGTAGTAGTTGAGTGTAGTAGTATATACGACTTTGACCAATGAATTTCATTCAATCTACGTGGACCAACCAACCAACCGAATCTATTAGTACCAGTCAGTCATTTAACCAGAATATTGACATTTGCCGAAGTCATGTAAACTGTATAACATATTTGTGTCATGCAACAATAAAAGATATAAACATGTAGTACTTTTAAATGACTGAAAGCTTCTTCAATAGTTGGAAGAAATCAGGTTTAAATATTGTATTCTTCTACAACGGTGCTAGGAACTTCATCTAAGAAGTTCATTTATTCTAATTTTACAAGTTAGTAATTACTGTATTTCTCTCATGGTTCCAAGTGGGTTTTCGTTTCATTGTCTTTCAGTAATTTACATTATATGTATGTCAATCTAATGTAAGATATACATAAAATGCATACCTTTTACTTTAAACTATTCTACTTAATACTTACTACATGTGAAATGATTGACTCTCAGCAGTGAATATGTTAGAATTTTCTTTCAGTTTAAAAAACAAAACTGAATTTAAACAAATTTGTCTTGTAACTAAACTATAGTGTAAACTATAATTATAAGTGTATAACAGCTGAATCGGTTTAGAAAATCAGACAGATAATCTACTCTAATAAAAATTATCATTATTTGTGTAATGTACAATTTCGTTGAATAAAAACCATTCAGTTTTATTAGTGACCGAGTCGAGATGGGCGATGATCACCACTAAACACTCATTACTATCCCGTCGCAAATTATAGAAATAAATCCAGGGTTCAATATTTGTTTTAAAGGAGAAAGTAGGCGTTACATCGAGCAACAATTTATGAAAGATGGCAGCAATGCGAAAAAGAACCTTGCGCGCAAGTAAATCTCTTTTGGTACAGTTCAACAAAACAAGTACAAAAATAAATGTTCGTTTTTCATCAATCGCCTTTTCTTAGTTGAAGTGTAAACGATCATACATGAACATTTGAACTACTGATAAAAGTGTCTTATCGGATTGATGGGATGAGTCTCTGTAGCCTTCAGGGGCTACTAAGAAACAGAAAACTTTCCATTTAACTAGACTTCAACGGAATTTTTACAATGTTTATATGATTGGATAACGCTGCAACATCGCTGTTTTCAATTTGGACGATTTTAATGATGCCATCACTGTAAACGAAAAATTATGAACACCCTTGTGTTTCGTATACATATTAACATCATGAAGTAAAATGGTCTTCACGTACTCCTCACCTTTCCTGTCGTGTACAATTTGCGACTTAAATTTAGTTTGAAGTTATTAGAAACCTGTTTTTTGTCACAAAGTCATTAGTGCTCGAGCAGCTTTCACACTACGACCCTTATTAGAAGCGAATAGGAAACCTTGAGTTCATTCAACAGACTTTTCAATTGATTATCATAAACCATTTATGGTAAATCTGTTTCGAGAATAGAAATTTGAAAATAACATGTGCATTATCACGATTTTCGACTGCTTACTAAACTCTAATAGAAATATTTGTCAGTGGTAATTACGGCGAGCTGATGGCTAACTGCTGATTAATTCACGATCCTCTGGTTTCTCTCTCCCTTGCCTTCGAGTACAGAAATGAAGACGAAATTCCACTATACTTGCATTTTCGATGCACGTAGTTGATATTACGAGCAAACCAGTTTACATCACACCATAAATATAACAAACAGCCATCGTACATGACCATGCCAAAAAGTGACTGTGGATCGGAAAAACTATGAGTAAGTTAAGAATATTAAATTGTCTAACAGTAGTTAAATGGTTCAAACAAAAGCTTATGATCAAAGGAATTCAAATACAATTAGTTACTCAATACTTATGCCATAAGAAAAAGTACAATAATAACCCTACAAATTAGTTCTGTATATTAATCTTCGTTCCATTATCAATCTGTACCTATGATATCTTTCTTTTCTTCTATAGATTCATATACTGTAGTGATTTCACCTTTTTACAAAGAAAACACGATTCATTATTATAACCAAGTGTACCATTCCATGTTTTAACGAACATTTTGTTTATTCGTGCTGTTGTAACACATTTTCCTTCTGCGTGGCCACCATACTGCTTTTTCTGCTTTGTACCTTTCACCCAATTTCGCTTGCACGATTTCGGTACCACAAAAGCGCCAGTAAATGTACTTATTTATTCTGAACTATGCTGTCTTTACTTCTATCAACAAAAAACTCGGGATAACGCCTAATACCCAAAAGTAATTGGTTTGTAGACGCGTTCATTGTCCTCGATTCAGAAATCTACAATACTAATAAAGAAAAAACTATGAATACAAAAGTACAGTTTAACTGAATTATTTCATCCAAAACGGAATTCTTCTTCACTAAATTCACTTTCATAAATTTACTCAGTAAACCAATTAGAGTTCAACCATTATTGTAGACTCTAGAGTTTCTCACTCATGCATCTCCGTTATTAGCGCCCCCAGATTCAACAAGGTGGTGAATAGTAAATACGTTTGTTGTTCAATTAAATATTTTTTATTGTATTTAAGATCTGATGTAAGTATACAATAAAAATTCATGTACAGTACATCAAAACCAAATTCTTGATAATATATCTTGTTGAAGTTCTACATATATTTTGGAAATATTCATATGGTACTAGATTATTTCAAATTCACAGACAAGATGTGATTTTGTTTACTTCTAAACATCATAAATTCATGATCAAAGTTTTTGAAAATTATTTAAGATCATTTTAGTAGTTACTTGAAATTCAAATGGAATAAATCGAGAATATAATTAAATCAATGATGCGAATTCCTGGTTATTGACTGATGCAGAAGATTCCGTCAGTTAATAAGCTATTATTCAAAAAAGTTCGAAAGATTTACATAGTACATTGTACTTATCACACTATTACTTAATGGGCAGATGTTCGATTCTCAAATAGAAATGGTTGTAGATTACAGCGTCAGTGTTGTTTCCGGATGGTAAAAAAGAAGACAGTCGCATCCGCGAAAATAATGAAACTACAACCAGACTGAATATAACAACTGGCAAACGAAAATTTTCACGAAAAGCTGTATTGTATAAAACTAACCCTCTTCTAGGCCCTATTTTACAACAACTAGCTACATTAAACATAGACTCCGAAGCATAGGTCATTAGTTTCCGACCTGTTTTGTTCATGCCCCACTATCCAGAAGTCTGGCTTGCGGTGCTGGAGGCATAGTTCCAGATCCGTCGCATTACGAATACACCATTTACCCAGGTCTCCCTTAAATCAAATCAAATATTAGCAGGGACTAGCAATATGGACAACTATATAGTTACCTCCGCGTCACATTGGGATGTAGATCTTGACGTCAATCACTTTCCAGCTCCAAGGTATAGGAATTGCCGTATGCACAGCAGTCTCAATTTTCAAGATCGCTCCATCATCCCAGAATCCGACGTCCGAAGTCTCAGTCACGTAGACCTGTACCCGCACACCCCAAGCGAGCAATTTCAAGGCAACGCTAAAATGTGGCTAAATAAGTAAATACTAGTTTCTGCTAGTTCCACCATGGCTTTGGGTCCAGTGCCCATCACTGTCGAGCCCCCTGATCATTTATTGCGGGAAGCTCCAGAACTGGCATGTAAATGCGGCCATACTCGCCAGCCCATCACTTCAGGTTGGCAGCTTATTTTACTTGCACAATTACCGCACTAACTCTAGGTACCTAGTTAACACAGGTGCCCAAGATTCTGCTGTATCAATGGGTCGCAGCAAATCTCAACCTACAATGCCTCGATTACGCGCTGCGAATGGCTCAGTCATTCCTACTTACGGCACACGACAGCTTACGGTCAGCCTGAGCAACCAACGACATTATCTGTTGACGTTCATCATTACTGATTCACCCACAGCCAAGCTCGGTATCCATTTCCCACAGCATTGTGCACTGTCAGTCAGTTCACGTAAGCTGCAGCTGATAGATATTTCGTTGAACAGCAAGCACATAAGCTTTAAAGCTTAGACGAATCACAGGTGTCTTTCATCCACGTGACGATATATATTCTAAAAAATTCCAACTACCTAAACCTTTCGAGAAGATCACATCGGTAACCATATGGTAAACCACATGGTCATCCGTGGACCCCCAGTGGCGGCAAAAGCTTGCCCACCAGCACCGGACAAATTAGGTTATGTTAAACGTGAGTTTCACAGCCCGCTAATTACACGTAATATCCGTCCTCCCCACAGTTCCTGGGCCTCACCATTGAAAAACGTGTGGCGACTACCAAGCATTCAACGTAGCTACACGGTTTGATAGCCACCCCATCTCCCGCACACATCAATTCTGATCTGTTACGGGGATATCATCAGATCCCAGTCGCTCTTGAAGATATAGAGAAAACAGCTATCATGACCCTCATCGTCTGTTTGAGTTCATGGGAATGGCATTTGAACTACGGGATGTCGCCCAAACTCTCTGAAGGTTTATCGATAGCATAGTACGAGACTTAGGTTTTGTTCATGTCTATATTAATGACCTGCTAATCGCATCATCAAACGTAGACGAACATTATCAGCTTCTGATGCTCCTGTGTCAACTCGGGTACAGCATCGAAAGGCCGCTTTCCTTCCAGAGTTATCTACCTGTTCAAATGTTTTCATGAGGGTAGATTCGGCACGAAAACCTTTAAAACAGCCTTACGAAAGAACTTTTTACGTGACTCGTCCCATTACACATTGATGAACACATCAACGATTTGCTGTATGAGAGCAAACATTGTCATTTATTTTCTAGTCGTTCACGTAAAGCGTTACTTGATTCGTGGTCATCCTCTAATGAATCATTGTCTCATGTATATGTTAGCTTTTCCCACCCACCACATGGTACCCATTTCTTCATTTGCGTCGACGCTTACATGAAAATTTATTTAGGCTGAGCAATCGCATTTACAGTGAATTTATCCACGATAATATTAGGCAATAAACAGGATGATGAGAAACAATAATAAAATGAACTCGAATTTGTATCATTTCATGAAATAATAACAACCGGTTGAAGAATGTTGCTAAGGTAAAGATACACACTGATTTGTCCAAAAGTGGGAGTACATTTTTCACAAAACTGCGAATCATAGACCAACAAGGTAAAGTTATATGAAGTCCAGACTAGTATAATGTTTCCCAGACCGATCTCAAAAGGCTGCTTTCCAAATGTCTGTTGCAAACGTCCTTCAAACTAAATATATATGGAAAGAAACTCATTGAAGTTAACGACTCAGCTTCACGAATCCAGGTCAGCGTCCATTGTAAGACTGAGAGTGGATTCCGAAATCGGAAAAACAGTTCTAGAAGTTTAAATACGCGCCTTGCCCAAATGTTCATATAAAAAGCAATTTATCTGGGTAAGAAACGGTTTTATTATTATTCAAAATTTACAGTTAATTACCTAAAACATATTACACTGTTCTCCATCAAATTTAACACAATGTGTTTCCAGTTGCGGAAGAATGCTTCCGTATCGGTCAAAAATTGCACCCCTCCAGTCCAGATTCAAGTTTTGCCCGCCAGGGTATCAATACCAACATGGCTGTAGCCATAATTAAGTACCAACCTAAACAACATATTACAGTTCAGTAGAAAACGGAAACTCCAATAAAGGTACAGAAATAGAAACTATAACAAAATACAAATATTAACATCACAAAATAGGATTAAACAGATTACCAAAATATCAACAGAAAGAGTCAGTAGGAACATAATACAAATATATGCATTTAGGGATTTTCCCAAAACAAAGCCTTCAAAATGGATTCTACATCCATTGTGAATGTGTTTCTGCCGTAATTTTTCGAGTTTTATAATTTTTGTATCCTCAGGACATATTCGTTTGGTTCGTGTACAAACAGGTTGTATCGGGTTTATCTTCTGGTTCAGGTGTAACAGAATCTTCAAATTTAATTACTGATCATACTACGTTGGCTTTTAGAATATCTATCCTTGTAGAGAACTTTCAGGTCTCCATATTAACAAAATGTCTCTCAAGTGGAATTCTGAACTAGACTCCGATTCCATTGCGGACTAAATTGAATAATGACAGCTATTAAACATTTTTAAAATGTAATCCACATTGATATATTTATCATAAGTAGTAAAACCTCCATCTATATACCTCTTTTATGGACAGAAGCTATGATTTTTCCGCATAAGTGTAGCATTTTAGAGATTGACTATCATACGGTACAACTTCAAATCTATTGTATTACTGTTTCATTTCATTCTGTTTTACTGTGGACTGTTATTTTAGCTCATCAATTGTAAGCACGACAGTACATATTAGGTAAATGAAATCGTCGATAAATTTTCTTCCTTGCGTCACCTTCATTTTATTCAAAAATACTAGGATTTAGTCACTAGCTGTGAAAGCCTTAGCTTAGATATCATTTAAATCATGCTTCAGATACTATATTTCATCTCCTTTTCAGGCCAGTATGAAAGGAACCTGATCTACTTCATTCCTGTATTGATCATCTCACTGGATTCAGTTCTAGTTCCTAAACCTTCTGGGTACTGGGTTTTGCATGGCAAAACAGTCTTAATAAAGTTTCCTAGGTGAAATTCAGTATTCTATGATGGGCGAGCATATATCGGTTCATGGTTAGCGTGATGTATCTGCGTTTGACTTGTCACTTTCACAATATACATTACCTTGTATCACTGCCGAAATGAGTGTCAGGCATCACGGAGATAGGCCTCCTAGTTAATTCAAAATATCCAGGTTTTTCTGAGGTGAATGTGGTTCAGTTAAATCACCATCTTTTTGTGCTATAGACCACAAAGAATCATAAAGAATATCAATTATCTTCCTCTTCAATTATGATTTCATTAGTGTTCTCTTGATTTTATGTACTAACCTTTCAGTCTAGTTCTTCATTTGAGCGTTTTATAGAGGTGATCGGACATGTGTTAGTTTGAACACGCTAGAAACTTTGGAGAGGATGAAAGTGACCAGTCTGAATGCCAAGGCGCCTGTCCCGGCAGACTAAACAAGGTTTTGTCAATAATTCCCACAGGACTTAATAGTAAATTTAGCTTACTAAAATCAGATATGCCGAATTGTATTGTATTGTATTGACGTTTGTATTGTAATCTGCTACATTGATGATGGTTGATAGTTGTTTTGAGTTCAGATGTTTCTCAATCTTGGAAATACTGCTCATACTTTGCTAAACCGTGTCTTTAGATCCACCTTGTTCATCAATGAGGCTAGCTCAGATATGCGACGATTTCCACCCGCTCCTACAGCTTCTCAGTCTAGTGTGATTTGGTTGGTGAATGTTGTGTTATACGTAAGGGTGTTGCTTTTTCCATTGCGCATGTTGTTGCCTACAGCAGACTCTGTCGCTAACCTAGTCGTCTTCTCTTGCATTTCTTGTTACGCATTGGGGGAAGTTGTCCTTCATTCACAATTTCACAGTTAACCCCACCATAGGAACTCCGCATGATGTTATCCATCCTTTCTGGCATGCCGTAGTGTCGAAGAAGCCTCTATAGTTCTATTCTGCTCACACTGTCAAATTCTTTCTCACGGTCAATAACATCCATGTAGAGTAGTGAACTTCACCGAATCGATTTTTCCACGATGCTCGGTAGTGTCGCAATTTCGTCGGTTTATGACTGACTCCTACGAAATCCAGCTTGCCGATCTAGAAGTTTAGCGACTATGCAGTCCTTCATTCAGTTTGGCAACCCCTTTTAAAGACATTACCTGTTATTTAGAGTAGAATGACTCCTCTGTAGTTTCATCACCTGCTGAGATTTCCTGTCATCAGTATTTTGATGAGTTGTCGTTCTCTCCAGTCCGTTAGTACTTGCTCTCCCTCCGAAATCTAGTTAAATGGAATGTGGAGTATATTAGCAACTACTGTTGTGTCTGCTGTCAGTGCCTCTGTTGGAACATTGCCTGGTCCCGCTGCTTTGGCTATCTTAGATTTACTGATGGACATGCAGATCTCCTCTGTTGTTTGTTGATCAACATTAGTTGAGAGATCCGTAGTCAACGCTTCGATGTTGCTTTGGCTTGGTAGGGCTTGTATCTTCACGAATTCCCCAAAGTGCTTTTCTCCGTTGTCGGTGACTGCTTCACCATCCCTGTTATTTAATGACCGTTCTGGTTTACGGAATTGTGCAGGATGCTTCTTTGTCTTATTATATGGTTGTCTCTCTTTCGTTTCTCTTGCGGCATTTTCCTCTGTCAATATTAGATATTCCATATATTTACGTCTGTTAGCTCAGATGCTCCTCTCAACGTGCTCGTGTGCTTCTGTGTGTCCAGCTCGTGTTTGGTTTTCCCTGCTCGTCATATTGATTGCTACCTTTGTTCTTCTCCTTCTTTGAATTCATATAGGGTAACCATTGCGATCCTTTCCTCACAGTGGGGCTGCTTGTGGCCCAGAACCTTATGAAATGCTGAAGTTATTGTTGACTTGATTCATTTCCATTTCTTGTCTATTTTAGTTTCCTCTCCGTCTAGTAGATGAAGATTAGCTTACTGAACAGAAAGTAAAGATGCTGTTGCGTCAGGACTCAAAAACTTTGAGACAAGCAAATCACAGTTAGATGATACTACCTGTTATTGAAGGTCGCTTGACAATATACCGACCCATAAAGTACTTTGATATTTGCAAAGGCAGTTTAGAACGATTACTTAAACTACGTTCTATAGACTATGAGAGAGGCTTGGGGCCGATTAGAAGCACTGAAATAAGGGCAAAGAAATATATTGGTTTATAATAGCTCGTGAAAAAGATATTGGATACATTGGATACACTAAGTGCGAAGTTTGTGCTAGCATCTACTGCAGATGTTGAATATCAGCATTACTCTGCCAAATACCTGGAGATTTTGGGGAAAAAATTGAGAGTAATGAAGCTAATCGGCTAATACTAGCTTATTATTCTCCGCATTGAAACTCACTAATATCAGATCTAGTAATCTGATAGATGCCTTCTACTCTGAAACAAACGTTTTCGTTATAATCACTGGACATACAAACTCACAACCAACTGCCAGCTGACTAGAATTAGACCGTGACTAGACACACACTCGGTGGAAACTACCGAAAGCATGATACAGTACCGAAAAAATGAGAATCGAGCACAAAGAAATCAATAAGCTTATACAAGCTCGTGAAATAGATATTGGATATTGGATACGGGTGGTAAAGATATTGGATATTGGCTTTCCGAATACAATCTTGAATTTTCAAGGTTGCCGAGTGTAAGTGATGGGTTGGGATTCTCTCAATCTTCCGGAATACATCGTAAAAGCAATCAGTGATTGTGGTTTAAAAAACCCTACACCTATACAAACTAAAGCCATACCTCCTGCTTTACACAGTTTTTCCGATGTTTTGGGATCAGCACCAACAGTATGCCCTAACTAGACGTTTTATCATAAACTTTCTCTTCTAGGGAAGTGGAAAAACTTTGGCATTTGGAATTCCTTTAGTCTCCAAGGTATTCTCCCTCAAGAGTCTTGAAGTAGGTAAATATTCTATATGTTTGCTATGTTTCATAACTCAATGCTGCTCCATTGTAGTACTTGTTTTAACTGTCACACGCTATCTAAATAGTCCTTCAATAGCATATCCACTTTTGGCTGCCTCAAAGCATCAATAATGGTTTGAAATATTAAATTGGGCTTAAGAGTTCTTCATTGGATTCTCAACATTGTTGATAATACAAATCATCATGAATTCACTTCTGAAGTTTGTGTTACAAATAATCGAAATCACTTACAATCATGAATTCACCATTGTTCTTGAACTAAATTCTGTTTGCTGACTCTGCTGTATCATCTATGGATGCTCTTTAAATGAAACGGAATTATTCCTGTTTTCCAAGTAGAACAGAATAAATTTGTTGATATCTGTATACAAGCACTTTCAGCTAGACTATCCGAAAAGGTGTTGTAGGAATGTATACACGTATAGCAATATGATGGATTAGAGTGTACTCATTTTCGGTTTTATAGAGTAACATGTCACTGGAAATTTTCGAGATGACCCAAAAAGCTAGAAACTTTTCTTATCACTTCCTTGAAAATATAATTTCCCTGTCTCCATCTTAAGAGCCGTTTAGGCTTGTTCCATGTCGTTTTTCCCTTTATATCAGCCAGTTGTCAGCCGTTAAGTAACGAAATATCAGTAAGTTAAGTGTTTACGAAACTTTTCACAGGATTCTAATTACCTGCCACGGTGTCCAGAACTGCAGGCTAAAATAAATCCTTAATCTAATAAGTCGACTGACTCGAATTATTAATTTAGCTCCTCCACTTATATTCTGTAAAGGCATTCTGTCTGTTTTTATGTTTGTGATATTTACTAAAATAACGACTTTTTAAAGGCCTCGGGAAATTCGCAATATGTAATGTCTGCTCTGCAGTTCGATAGAAGTAATACTTGTCTACAGTCAGCAAGTTCATTGTGAAGGATTAACTCTTCATAAAGTTGTACTTTCTTAGTACAAAGAAGTTTATTGACAAGTGACATTCTCTCAAGCCGTTATAAACTAAAAAGAGAACGCTTTAGAGCGTACTCATTAAATGCCTTTCCAGCCGGTAAATTCTACATGGGTAGCTAGAGTGACCTCAAATAAGAGTTAATAAAAAGGTCTAAGGGAAACTATTTTCGTCTGTGAAGCTCTTCTCAGAATTGTAGAATGGGGGGATGAGCTAGTCGTAACAATGTCAATTCAAGTTGTGATATTTTTGGGTTGTACTGAAGTCGTCCCTATTAAAGTGTATAAGCCATGATGTGAGCGTTCAAAAGTGATATCTAGCCAAAGGCTTTGTTGCATAGTGTGATGTAATTTTATCGTGTTCTTCTCTGTGGATTTGTTTTTCAGAACCAAACTTGTAAGGAAAAATCAGAAACTGATAGTGTGATTGACGAACAGAAATGCGAAGTGACATCTTACACCAAGCCTTGTGGAAAAAAGAGGAAAAAGCAGAAAGAAGCCGAAATCTATTCAGCTCTAGATGTCATCGAAGAGTTAGATGTAAATACTGGGGAAATTCGCGCAGTTCATTCTCTTGGTGATCCTATTACAGTAGATTCTGAAGCACTTCCAATTATCGAACCTGTTTGTTCCACACCAAATCGTGTTTACGGACTTGTTCTGGTTCCTACCAGGGAATTAGCTATTCAGGTATAAAGAAATCTTATTTTAACAAAAACTTTCTGTTTACTTGCACACTTTATGGTTCTCTCAAATATGGTTTTATACACATTTAATATCCGCTTGTATTCATGTTTTAATTACCGTGCTTACTGTCCATAGTTTTTCTGCATTTCCTGGATATACTTGTTCTAATAATTTTCTTCACACTGAAAAATATTCTCGTACTGCTCTGACAGTTCCAAACCGGTTTTTGTTCTAAGATATTCATGTAGAGTTGTTTTTAATTCTTCTGATCATCAATCATTTTAAATTACAATTAAATAAGGTGAAAACCAAGACTAAAATACCGTCATCTTTCGGTCACTGATAAAAAACGTAGGATTTAGTACAAATCTGTGACAGTCCACGTTATAACCCTTCACACTAGCAGATAAAAATGAAATCAACAATACAAAGTGTCGTAAAGTTGACATTATGAGCTAGTTTACGTCTCAACTAGCTCACTTCAATAGTAATCAGCATAGTACAGGAATAGCGATGCGCGGGGGATGTGAGACGCAACCACTAGTTAGTGAAGAGTAACATTCATACCAACCATCTTTATCTAGAAATCTAAACCATCAACTGGTACTAGTCACTTAGTTTCGTTACATTTGATGGCACTATTTGTAGGAGAAATTCATTACTAACTGCTTGCAACTTGTACACATCCTCGGCCCGCATAGTTCATGTTTCTCAAATTGTTTCAATATATGGTAAACTCGCCTTCTATTTCTCAGCTTAATATCTCGTTTATAGTAAAAGCGATGCAACTAATCAAAAACCAATTTAGTCTTCTTCATCTTTATCGTGTTGTCATCAGCCACCAACCCACAAAAGTAACGACTTTAGATAATGGTTCATCGTTAGTTCTTACTCGACTTTCACTGTTTTTTGAAGAGCCTTGAATAGGTAAGCTTCTCCGTGGCAGGTACTTTCATAAAATCCGGACTATCGAATTCACTTCCGACTAGGAAGTACTACTGTTGGGTCCCAGCAGGTACGTTTATTCTCTAGAAGCCCCTAAGGGGTAAATTTGTGGCTTGCATATCCATGGTTGCGTTTGAAACCTGCCTATTTTCCGGGATCTCTGTTCCTAAGCTTCATTTGAACTTGGGTTAGTTATGAAAGTTACTTTCTTGAACGCCGTAATAATTAATGTGCAATGGAATAATCAGCAATCACCCCACATTTTGCACATTTATACCAACGTATAAACTGAAGATAATATCAAATTCTAACTGGTGCTGTTAAACTAACTTCAATAAAACTCACTTCCTGTCTCTCACAAAACCTTGATGAGTAGTGGCTAAATGAGAGATAGTTGGTAAATGGTTGAAATATTCCTTAACGTCTTTTTATTGTTACACTTACCGCTTTAGCCTTTTTCCGATAACCAGTCTCGATCTTTGATCTCCCTCATCTTGTTTTTATTGCCGGTCACTGTGTAGACTTTGTCATTACGTCGAAGTTGTTCATCATTTTGTTCTGAATATCGATCAGTTTAACTAAAGCCATGTAAATCTGTTAGCTTAACCCAACACTAGGAATGATGTTTATTCTTTTCCTTGATTAAAAATAGGTTACTCAACATATTCGTGCCTTAACGCGGTATGTCGATTGTATTCGTATTGAAACTATTGTTGGTGGAATATCAGTTGATAAACAGCTCCGACTTCTTCGACGTTGTCCAGATATACTCGTTGCTACTCCAGGAAGATTATGGCATTTTATTCAACAAGTTAGTACTCTTTACTTATTGGTGACTTGTACAGTTTGGTTAGTGAAATGAAGCCATTTGTAGAAGTCTGGTGTGTGATCATTACGAAACATTAGACTAATTGGATTATTGACAAATGATTCAAAACACCTCATAAATAGCCTTTGCATTTTTTTCAACTAGCTTGTTGGTTTGTTTCACCTCTTATAAATGACTAGTTTCCATGAAATCATTGCATTACCGACGTTATATTCATGCAAAATAAAGAAGTATTTCTAGATGTCATAAAAAATAACACAATACATACACTTATTTACAGCTAGTTTCATCAGTCAGTTTTCCTTAATCAACCTGCTTGAGGATGGAAATCACTAGCCACTATTATGATATCAGGCTGCTTAACTTTTGGAAAGCCTTCGGTAAAATCCATCTTTTGTTTTATCCGAGCTGCAGTCAGTGGGAGCTAAGACAGAGATAACGAAGAGGCTATGGCCAGTGCCCTTGTCTTTCTGAGTGGTTACTGTTCCATTGAGTCGGACAGCGCACAAGCGACTATCTACTGGGATCCAGTCTAAGAGATCTAATTCTGTTTTAGAATCCAATCCTTTAACTTCACCAGCGAGGTCACGCGAAACAGCAGATATGGCACAAGAAGTGTAAATCGAGTTGATTCTTTATATTGACAAAGTGAGGTCAAAGGAGTAACACGACTTGGATCCTGAATGCGCGTTTTGGGGACGGCCTACTTGAATAGCGCAAGATTATAAAGTCTTAGCTAAGGAGGCTTGTTGTCCTATTTGTTATAAGGTCCAGATATTGAAAGCCCCAACCTGTAGTTTCGAGCGGGGTTTCAGGATATCAGGAATAATAGTTTATGCACTAAAATCGTTAACATTAGCGGTGCGGGGTGATAAACATATACGTGACGGGTTAGTCGTGGAGACAAAAGAGTTATCGAGAGGTCAGTGTTGGGTGATAAAGGGATGTCATAGAGGTCATAGAGGTAAGGGGATTATTAGGTGTAGGAAGGTTTTGATTGTGAGTAAGTTGATCTCGTGTGTTGTTAACGGGTTTGAGGGTGGATGTCACTTCCCCGGCTGCCCACACCGTGGTAGGGTGCTTTTTGAAGAACCTGAAACGGAAATTGGATTAGCGTTAGCCTTAGCGACTTGCTGGAGGCCGGTCATGCACAGCCTTTTTGTAGGATGTTTTGCAAATGTTTGCTTCACTCTTCAAATGGTCTTACCGTCGGAGATGGAAATCCGTGAGGTTAGGTGAAGTGTCGACCTTTTCTAACCCTTTATTTCCTTGTTAGAAGGCAACATCTATGGAGGTGCTGGTTATACAAGGGAAACATCTTACTTCTGTCACACCCTTCTACAGTCAGCAGTACTTCTCCCTCTGACCTTAGGTTTCTGCTTTTAGTCTTACCGTTCTTTAGTCGACTTGTTCGGCTGGCATGGTGCAACGTAAAGAAACATATGTTCCAGCCACTATCACCTCTAGGTAACTAACAGCTACGGTCGGGTTGGTATCGAGCGCTCAAAGTAAAATAAATTTATTCGTACCCATTCGTCAAGTTTGTCTTTCAAATTTATTTGTATCTTCATCCTACCTGCTCTGATCAAAGTCTGTTTATTCAGAAATTAAAATGTTATATTTTTGCGAATAGTTGATTTCACATTATATTAAGTAGGGTACGACTATTCTACTTGATCGTCTTTCTCTTAGGTGCTTTTGCAATCAGTTTTATTCGCTAAAGACCATAAACAGCTATAAATTGTATGGTTTCCGTTGTTTTTAACGGTTTTTTTTTCTACTTCAAAACCCTTAGTTTCATCTAAATATCCATGAAAAAATGTTTTCTTACGACTTTTTTTTTTAATATCAAGGGTGAACCTCATGTTCTGACATTACACAATGTCAATGTAGTTGTTGTGGATGAAGCTGATCGAATGATTGAAGCTAATCATTTTGATGATTTACGTTCAATTTTCAATTGGTTACATTCAACATCAAATTGTAATAATGAAGATATAGAAGAACAGGAAAATGTAGATAATATTCAAGGAAAAAATTCTAAAAAAACACCAATAAATCTTAAAAGGAAACATAAGTTAACAGAAAACTTAAATCATTCCACTAATTTAATTCAAACACAACGTCAGACATTAATATTTTCAGCTACTTTAACATTTGTACATCATGGTGCATTGAAACCAGGTACTGGATCTAAAAAGCATAAACTTTTATCAAATAATAAAGGTACTATGACAAAGAAAATAAAACTTGGTAAGTTTTTATACGTTTTTTTTAAATTGATCATTATCATGAATATTATTCAATATTAAAAGTTCATTTTATTTTTTCGTTCGTCTTTATCTAATACACTTACTTTATTGGTTAGTAGGTTGTATAATACTCGAGTGAAAGCCTGCCTTTTGGCGAAATTCTCCCATTTTTTTGACCAACGAGAAGTATGTCACGCTTATATGATTTTGAGTTAATGGAGAAAATTTGTAGCTCAGGTAGAGGGAGTTTCTTTCTCTGAGCTGGATGTTTCGGTTGTAGAGCTTTCATTGTTCTTCCTAACAACGACATCATCGGCATAAACTTCAAATTGATAATTCAAAAGCTACACTGTTTCAAGGTGATAGTTATTAAGTCTACTATTAGATACAGTGAATACTGAATTACAATCTTTGGCATTAGAATTAATAGGACCGTCCTCTCCAGCCACCAATCAAAAGCCTGTTGAAAATAGATTTTTTATGCTAGTAAATGTCAAGACATGCAGAAAAGCCATGATTATTTAAAGCTTTTGGCATAGATTGAAATCATTCAATCTGCAATTAGCGTTGTTACATCTTTACCCAGTGACCTTATTCCACATAGACACTCTAGAATATCTGTCGAGCATTGATTGGATCGAATCTCTTCGGTTTCTTGAGATCCCTAGAAGGTTTCTCTAAGCCGTTCCAACAGTAGTAGCAGAAGAAATTGTAGTGTTGAATGTAAAATGCGACCTAGTAAATTCGTAGATCTAATCAGTACATACGCTAATAGTCAGTTAGTCAGTCAGTCAGATGCAACGTAGAACTTGGTACGTAAGTACATCAGTTCATGTTGCCATACCACATCAGCACAGAGAAGGAATTGTCAATTCAAATCCAATAGTAGAAGAGGTAGTAAGGGAATTAGAAGTAATCGGAGAGGTTAGGGTTAGAAGTTACCATTCAAGAAGTATGATTCAGTGAGAAAAGTTTAGAGAGTCGAAACTAGAGTTGTTGAAGAATCCAGAAGATTAGCATTTGAGAGAACACAAAGAATAAATGCACCGGCGCCATTGCAAACGATTTTGAGCCATGTCATTCAAGGCCTCTAACCATCGATTATTATCATCTCGCGGACTCCAACCAGGTAGTCGACAATTACTGACATGGCTCAGTCCACTAGTCAATGACTTCATGGATTTTTGCCATGTTTTGGTCTGGCCGCCCCTAAATTTCTTCCAACCTACTCCTACACTACAATACAAAGTTCGTCGAGGCAGTCGGTGGTTAGGCATACGCAGGACATGTCCCAACCACCTCAACGGATGAAGTTTCACCACTTCATCGATTGATCTGCCATCCTTACCTAGTACTCGTTTCCTAACGACAGCATTGCTTACTCGGTTGTCCCACGGTATACAAGCATTGCTTCGAAGACACCTATGATCGAAAACCAGTAACCTACGAATATCTTCTACTCTCACTGGCCATGTTTCACAGCCATATAGGAGAACGGGGCGAACTGCTGCACAGTACATTCGTCCTTTAATTAGAGAACGGATATCACGCCTACGCCATAGGTGACGCAGGTTGGCAAAAGCCAATCGAGCCTTCTGTATCCGAGCTGAGATTTCGTCAGTCACCAGGCCATCGGCACTGGTGAGACTCCCAAGATAAGTGAAGCGGTCTACACGTTCGACCACTTCACTCCCTATCACTAGTTCAGGTGCCGATGCAACCCTATCTTGAAGCAACATTTTGCATTTCGAGGGGGAAAACCGCATCCCGAACATGCTTGCATTGTTGCTTAGGGTAGTCAGAAGACTCTGCATTTTGTCAGCATCTTCACCAAGTAGGACAATGTCATCGGCATATTCTAAGTCAATAAGCGAGCCACGTGGTCGAAGGTCTACTCCAGAAAATTCAGACGAGGATAAGGTTATTTCTAGGAGCATGTCTATGATAAAATTAAACAAGAATGGAGAAAGTGGACATCCCTGACGGACACCACTTGAAGTAGAGAATTCCGGTGACAGTTCGCCATAAGCCCTCACTCGACCAGTGGTGTTCGAGTAGAGAGATTGTATGAGGTTAATGTACTTCTTTGGTACACCTTTCAATGACAGACACTGCCACAGAACCTCACGATCCACAGAGTCAAATGCCGCCTTAAGGTCCAGGAAAACAACTATTGTAGGACGCCTAAATGTGTCTATGTTCCAGGACCTGTCGTAGTGTAAAGATGTGGTCTATACAACCATGTCCAGGTCGAAAACCAGCCTGGTTTTCTCGAGTCTGCTCTTCACGAGCTTTCGTTAAGCGTCGAAGTATTATTGAGGCCAATATTTTAGATACTATATTAGTTAGACTTATTCCCCTCTGATTGTCACAAGAAGACTTTTGTCCTTTCTTATAGATTGGGACAATCAGTGATTGAGACCAGTCGGATGGGATTACGTCCAGTTCCCAGATTCTACCTAAGATCTCAGTCAACCTAGCTGCTAAAACTGTACCACCATCCTTAAATATCTCAGGGGTCAGTCTATCAGGACCTGCAGCTCGTCCTCGTTTCAGATTTCCTAACGCTTTCTCAACGTCATTAAGACTAAGGGGACTTAGGTCGATTTGCCATTCAGGATGACTGGAGATCGTGGGTAACCGAAGAGTGGCTCGTGGCCAGTTGAACTGATCCCTAAAATGTTCTGCCCATCGATCCAGTCTCCTGGATTGAGAATGGATAATAATCCCATCCTTTTCCGAGATAGTCTCACTCACATTCGGGTTCTTAATACTAGTTTCTTTAATAAGTCGGATCCTATCCTTCCGAGTCCTTACTGTCCCGTTTAGTCGGACAGCGCACAAAACGACTATCTACTGGGATCCGTCAAGGGAGATAATTCTGCCTCTGGACTCAACGCTATGCCTACGCCAGCAGACCCCTGGAAGCAGCATCAGGGTTACCGGATACACGAAGAGTGAATCGGCTGCTTCTTCGTTTTGATAAGGTGGAATCAGGTTAATGACTTACTAGGATCCTGTATGCGCGTTTCCGAGACGCAGCATACATCGATGGCACGAGATTCTAAAGTCCTAGCTAATGAAGCCTGTTGCCCTATTTGACACAATGTCCGTACATTAAAAGCTCCAACATGTAGTCTGGAACGGGGTTTCAAGAGACCAGGAACGACGTTTCGTGATCTCGCTTTCGTCTGCATTAGCAGTGCAGTGAGAAAAGGGAGTGTGAGTAGAGTTAGTCGTAGAGATAAGAGAGACATTAGGGGTGTAGGAAGGATTTGATTTTGACCAATTTGATCTCGCGTGCTGTTACGGGTATGTGGGCGGTTGTCACTTCCCGGCTGCCCACACCGTGGAAGGTTGATTCTTGAGGGACCTGAAAAGGAAGATGGATTAGTGTTGGTGCGTGACCGCAGAGCCCAAGGGACAACTGCTTGAGGCCGGTCACGCACGGCCTAGTAATTTTACTAACTGTACTACTATAGGATTTGAATTGTCAATTACATCTCTGTCCTAATGTGGTGTTACAACTTGCACTGATGTACGTATGTACGTACGAAGTTCTACGTTGTTGTTGATTGGTTGATTGATTTCTGTTTCTTTATTTTTTATCTCATACAAGGTTCATGTTATGCGTGCACATAAACACGTCAACTTGATATGCTTGAACTATTACGAGTTTATCTTAGTCGGGAAACGAGAGCGAGTATCGAGGATCCGGTGACAGGACATGCTACTCTAACCCGATTATCCCAACCCCCATATTGAGTAAAAATAAGAAGATTTGATATGAAGTAGAACCTGTATTCTACAAGCATCCATAAAGTATGAGGTCCGAGTCCAGTAAAGAATCAGGATCCCGGACTAGCGATCCGGGTCCTGGTCCTGGTCATAAAACGTTACAGATAATGCGTATTTATACATTTTGGTCGAATAGGAAGCAGCATCGAAGTCTGTGACATTTACAGTTAAGACGACCAATAAGAAGCAACATTTGAAGTAACATTGATAGTCAGGACAACCAATAAGAAACAACATTGGAGCACGTGACATTGATATCTAGGACGACCATCAAGTTGACCAATAGGAATTGACGAATAATTCTCTTAGGATATTGGATGAATATCATAACAGTTCAGCACTTTCATGGTTATCATGAATACTAAATAAAGTTGATGATTTGTTCTTTTACACTTTCAGCTGTGTTGCGTGAAATGTTCGGTTTAAAGAAATCCGCTGTGATAATTGATTTATCATCAAACAATTCAACTAAACAATCAACTTCCAATTCTAGTTTAGATTGTCAATCAACCTGCCCTGATAGCCTTTCTGAATGTCGATTATTATGTCCAAATCAAGCAAGCAAAGATATCCGGCTATTTTGGTTTATTGCATTTGGCCGCCATCTTGAATCTTCCAAGTCATCCAATCGACGATGTTTAATTTTTTTAAACAGTAAATCTGGTGTACGTCGATTAGCTGGTGTGTTACGTCAACTGCTCAATTCAAATGCTTTTTTAGTATCTGGATATCCATCCCTACAGCATATAAATGTGTTACATGCTGATATGATTCAAAAGCAAAGATTACGTGCTCTTGAACGATTCCAAGGTATTTTGCATGTGATTGTTGTGTTGTGTATAATTTATTCAACATATAATGGGTATAGTAGACAAAAATCAATTAATTTGAACCTTCGTTGGTAGCTCTTAGTATTTTACACCTATCCGTTCTATTCAAAATACTATTATTGAACAGTTCCATCTCCCGATCAATGTGACTAAAACTCATCAATAGGAAAATGCGTATAAATATGTAGGAAGTAAATTAGTGTATTTTTGTGTTATTTTCGCGCGAAGAATCTCTGCCTGTTCAAAGTCAATTATTCTTTCTCTTGTTTCAGTTTTCACTCTTTAATCTCTGCGACTATTCATCTGGACGGTGTATTCCAGCGGTGCATTTCATCATTATTACTGCCATCGTAACATATCGTCACTAGATTTTACTACTTGAATAATGTCTTCTTTTCTTAATCTCATTGATTACTGTTCATACTTCTACTACCTTTACCAGTATGGGATTTGAATTGACAATTGCATCTCTGTGCTAATGTGGTATGGCAACATGAACTGATGTACGTACGTACGTACGTACGTAGTTAGTTTTACGTTGCTATTGATTGGTTGATTGATTGATTGAACATATCGTCACTAGAAGTATTTATTGCCTTGTGATATCGAATATATAGTTAAGATAAACACAACTAATTAATGGTCATTGTTATTATTGTTATGATGAGCGGTGTCAAGATCTGAACCCCGCCGCCAGAACTGGCCGCTTGAGCGAAAACATAAGACTGGAATAGGAAATCTCTCTGGTTATCGAATAATATGTACGAATACTTATTTATTCCTTACATAAGAAAATCATTTCTTGACCACTGAAATGCATTTTCGTACCTCAGGACATTTTCTAATGATTATTAAATGACATTCTCATTAGGTCACTACTGATTAGCTTGCTATATCAGTTATTTTTGTTTCAGTGTAGGGACTACGGAGATGGATCAATGCGTAATAGTGAACTTTACTAAATCTAACTCATTTATCAGGTACATGTTTATGTATTCGGCTTTGAATCATGTTATGTTAAGATTGGTGATAGTACTCGACTACCTACAATCTAAGAAATAGATTATATTTTGATCTTACAGCTCAGTGGTTGGAAACTATACATTTTGATTACTAATTTACTTTTATCAATAGTGCGTGTTAGATAATTTATTCATGCTTACAACTGTTTAATTGATGTTGAACAGTATGTAAGAACATTCCATGTGCTTAAATAAATTGTTGCTCTGGTTGTCGGAAGGGGGCATCAGTCTCGTGACTTCCGAAGAAATTCAGCTTTCATCATAATGCGTGATAACTCTTCTAATTAATGACCTTCCAACTCCCAGGATAGAGTTTAAATGGTTTGAATTATGTATTCTGGTTATCGTTTTTATAACAAGCTGGTTTTCTATGGGACGAGGTCGCTAACTTCATGCGCATCACTCTTCAATATTTTGGCTTGAGACTGTCAGTAACCCCAGAAGGGCTCCAAATAGAGTTTGTGCATGAAGGATAGCTCAAAAACTCGTTATAAATAAGGACCGGTGTCAGGCAAGGTTGCCTACTGTCACCATTTCTTTTTCTCCTGGTGGTCTATTAGATCATAAAGACGTCCACATCGGGAGGGAAGCACGGGATAAAGTAGACAGCTTAGATACCACTGTTTGATCAGGACTTCGCAAGTGATCTAACTCTTCTATCTTATACACGGCAATAAGTGCGGGAGAAGACGGTCAATGTATCAGCAGCTTATGCAGCAGTAAGTTGCAACATTTAAAAGGGAAATAGCAAGATCCTTAGATACAACACAGCATCCACCAACCAAATAAAAGTTGGAGAACTACAAAAACTATCATCCAAAAGATACAATTGTTTATTAACAGTTGTCTCCTAAATGTACTACGGATCCGTTGGTCAGACATCACTATCCACAACGTACTGTGAAAATGAACAAACCAGATTTCAGGTAAAGAAGAAATTAGGAAAAAATCGCAGGACTCATTGTGGAAATCACGGAACTGCAGTATAAGGCAAGCCCTAACTTGTAACCCTCAAGGTCAAACGAATAGAAAAGAAGACACAGTAGATTGGAAAATACTGGTCGTCAGCCTAAGTTTTATTATGGGTAACATGCGTAAGTAAGTAAGGTGTTGAACAGAACTATGATAAGACAAACTTTATATTCATCGAACATGTCATACGACAATTATTCATGAGGTGGTTGCGTCGCACATATATCATATCTAGAATATGTTCACTTTTAGTTTCTAGTTCTTTTTTATCTCCTTGCTATTTTCTTTCAATGTTAACAAATGTAATCGATATGACAATTTGTGTATAAAAGATAGAAAAAAAGAATTTCATTTCTCAATTATCTGGATGCTTTGTTTTTTTTTAATATTGTACAGCTGATTCAAATGGAATTTTACTTGCTAGTGATGTAGCTGCTCGTGGTTTGGATTTAGCATCAAATGATGAGAATAATATAATGGAAACTAGTGGAATATCATGGGTGATACATTTTGATGTACCACGTACAGCTGAATTGTATATACATCGATCAGGACGTACTGCTAGAGCTAATCGTCATGGTACTAGTTTATTATTTATTTCACCAAATGAAATTGTTCATTGGCATCGAATTGCTGTTAGTCTTCAAAGAACTAGTAAGTAAATTGAATCATTTATTTTGTATGATTATCAGATTTATTATGATTACCAGTTATTGTTAGTATTTAAGGCGTTTGACTTTCAACTGCTAATCTCCTGGTGTAATGAAGGAAGAAGTCTAGACCAGAGAAGACACAGGTTACTCACAAAAATTGTACACCTCATCTTCTGTTAGCAAAGCGAACAGATTGTTGACTATCTTCTTTCAAAAGTCTTCTGGTTCGCAAATAACTTTGATCACGGTGTTCATTCCCATCTGACACTTCTCTCTGCGGTAGTAACTTCTGGGCGACCCTCCACCGCATACTACTTATAAACTACGTTTTGAGTAGTATTTACTTCATTCTACGTACTTCGGTTTCTGCATCGGTGTAATATTATTAGCCCTAACACTTGAAGCGTGGCTCATATTCAAGTACTGAGTGTATGAATTGATTTGAATTTTTAATATATATGATTACTTGCTTTTTAGAATTTCAAATTGTGTAGTTAAATGCGAACAACGAGTGAATTGTTTGGAAATAAGGATTTCGCGGCAAACAACCACGAAACACCTAGATCAAAGAATTTGAATGCTCTTCACAATAAGAAATTTGACTAGTTTGAGATCTTATATATGTGTTCATGCTTTGAAATCTTAGTTGATGAGACCCTTATTATTTATCTCTGTATAAGCTATAGTAATAATACTAATAACTTTAACAATAATAATGGTTTTATTCAATATTAAATGTGGAACGATCGAGTGAGATTAGGCATAAAGTACTAGTTATTGATGACAAATTGATTGAAGTTTTCGATCATTACTATTATCCAACTTGACAGGTAGTACTTGTTGGTATATAAGTAGGGTGCAAAAAAAAGTTAAACGCGGTCAAGTGAAAACGTAAAACTTGTCCATAAAGTCATCGATCATATTAGTAGATGCAAACTCCCTGGTTATGGTCTATACAATAAATGCAATCAGTCTTTGAAGATATTTGGGTAACATGGCTTAAAATCACTTACAGTGACATAGATTTGTTCCCTCTTTATTCTCCTCAGTCAGCTACAACCTAGAACTTGGCATGTATGTATACCAAGTTGCCATACCACATTAGCGCAGAGAGATTGAATTGTCAATTCCAATCCCATAGTAGTAGTAGGGATAATAGCAGTATTAGCAATAATAGAGAAGATTAAGATTCGAAAATATTTAAGATTTATATCCCCGTGTTATAATTGTTTCTTGTTACAACCCATTTATTCCTAATGCTTAGTATTCTCGGACACCAATCCATTCGAGACGTTCTCCCAAATCAGAACAAGGTTAAATAAATTATATTCTAATAACAAGGTTAGATGAAAGTCATGGAAGTCCAGAATGTTTGTATATTTATAGTTTCTTACATGAGAAGATTCCAGAATGTTCCCTCAGTATCGATTCGCGCTGATTTGATACGATAGAGCCAATCAGCCTGCAACAGCTGTAACACATGCACGTAAACACGTCAACTTGATATGCTTGAACTATTACGAGTTTACCTTAGTCGGAAAACGAGAGCGAGGATCGAGGATCCGGCGACACGACATGCTACTCTAATCCGAGTGTCTCAACCCCTATTGAGTAAATAAGAATAAGAAGACTTGATATAAAGTGGAACCTGTATTCTAAAAGCACTCAGGAAATAAGTGGTCCGAGTTGAGAAGAGGGTAGGAACTCTGGACCAAGGATCCGGGTCCGGGTCATAAAACGTTACAGATAATGCGTATTTATACACTTAGGTCGAATAAGAAACAGCATCGAAGCCTATGACATTGAAATTCAGGACGACCAATAAGAAACAACATTGCAGTACGTGACATATTCTTCTGTATACTCATAATAATCCTATTATTATTAATGCTGCAAGTTTCTCAATTACTATGATATTACGTAACCTTATCCATAGTCTTTGGTGAGTAACTGCCTCTCACTCGTCATGGCTGAACTCCATTAAACATGGCTTCTTTGAGAAGCTGCGCATTATTTTGAATCGACTGAAGTTGGATATTATCACCGTTATATACCGGCTCAGTGATCTGGAATTTGAGCGTTCGCGCTCGAAACCAAAGGTCCTGAGTTCGATTCCTCTATTCGTAGGTCGTAGGTGAGCACTGACGTGATGAGTCCCATTCTAGAACGAAATGGTCGTGAAGTGCTTTCAGGTTTCCCGTTATGGCCTCACATTGGTCGATACATGATTTCCGCATCATTCAACAATCTTCACAACCCTGTACCGACAACATGTTTTTTTGTTGTTGGTTAATAGGTACTCCATGTTTATTCTTTTTTTTTCTATTTCGTCATTATTCTAGATCCGGAACTTGATGATTTTCATATTCAACCAACAACTGTTCAATTGACTATCAGTGAACAAATTGTTAAATTAGCTAAACAAATTGATATAGAAGAGCATAGAAATTCTCGACAAATTGCAAATAATAATTGGTTTGCTAAAGCAGCAAAAGATGCTAACATTCTATTAGATGATGATAAGGATCATTCTAATAAATCAAGTGATGACGAGAATAATCATCGTAAAAAGTAAGATTTTATTGTTTATTGTGTTGCGTATGTCTAACCATTGACTGCCTTGACGAGCTATGTTTTGTAGTGTAAGGGTAGGGTTGGAAGACAGCTAGAGGCGGCCAAACCAAAACATGGTACAAATCCATGAAGTCACTGACTATTGGAATGAGCTATGTCAGTAGGTGTCAGCTACCTGGTTGAGGCCCATGAGATGATAGTAATTAGATGGTTAGAGACTTTTAATGACATGGCTCAAAAGCGTTTGTGTTCTCTCAAATCCTAACCTTCAGGATTCCTCATCACCTTTATCTTTTTCTTTTTAAGTTTATTTCACCAGATTCTACTTCTTGGATAATGTCATCTAACCCGATTACTGCTAATAGCTCTACTACCTCTACTACCATGGTATTTCAAGTGTCATTTGCATCTCTGTGCTAATGTGTTATTGCAACTTGAACATTGATGTACGTACATACGAAGTCCGTATGTTGTTGATGTTGTTGTTGACTGACTGACTGATTATGAAAAACTGTCAGCAATCAGACTGTTAGTTTTATCCATTAACTTGGCCAAAATATCCGTTGCAGTGAATAGTTAATATGTTCTCTTCTTCTTATCGACTCTTGTGTAACTATATACAGAATTGTAAGTGTAGAAACTGTTAATAACTTGTTACCTTTGTTATGATGTAGTGAAGGAGAACACAGGTGAGGGCAACCAAATTGTATTTGTCGCAAATTACAGAGTTACTCAGTAAAATAGGAAAACCATATCGTAAATCGTTAATTTGCAAATCTTCAATCCATCATCAATCCCTTGTCTGACATTTCACTATTCATGCGTTTCGTACAAATTCCATTGTGTTCCCACTCTTCCTTTCTTGATCTTCCCCCATCTGCTGCTGCCAGATATTACGTTGACACTCACGTCATATACTACTTATAAGTAGCGCGCACCACAATGAGTTTATTTAAAAAGTTAAAAATGTTTTTATTTCGCTATTTTTTTCAGAAAAAATTCATTGAAAAAAAAGTCGGACAGTACAAAAACATTAAAACTAGAGTTACATCAGGTAATTTTTTTAACACAAAAGAAAATTACTTTTTATTTTTGCTTAATTTGTATTTGTTTTCACTTGTAATATTAATAATAATAATAATAATATGTCGTTATTATGGTTGATATGCTTGAATGCTATTATGAGTTCTGCTTAGTCGGTAAACGAGAGCGAAGATAAATGAACTAGTGACATGATAGGTTACTCTAATCCGATTGTCCCAAGACCCCACTAAGTAGAGAAAGAAGTCTTGATAAGACGTAGAAAGTGTATTCTACAAGCACCGAGAAATTATGAAGTTCCCAAGCACACAAATCGAGTTTATTTATACATGATAGAAACGTCTTTGAGAGAGCTACAAAAATAGCGTACTAAGATACTGCATCAACCAATAACAGTCAAGGATTTTCCGTGTGAGAAATATATTCTGTAAGTCAACTGATCAGCCCATGCTCGAAAACATAATTTTCGAAAATTATGACCTTTATCAAGTTGAGTTCTGGTGATCTAAGGTCCCCAACCAATATTATCTTTCTGGTACATTAGATCATTTCTAGTTAATTATTGTTTTTGAAATCAGTCTTAAATTTCCTAGTTTACAAGTTCTAACATCGTTTTGTGTAGACAAGTTACTACAACATCATGAATTTATTACATATATGTATGAAATGAGGTCTAAATAAAGTGTAGCTAGTGAATAATAAAAATCTAAATTGTTGTAACATTTAAACTAGTTGTGTTTGTGTATTTGATAATTCAAACGTACATATTACCTCATACAGTCAGTCAGTCAGTCAGTTGCAACGTAGAACTTCGTACGTAAGTACATCAGTTCATGTCGCCATACCACATCAGCACAGAGATATAATTGTCAATTCAAATCCAATAGTAGAAGAGGTAGTAAAGGTATTAGAAGTAATCGGAGGGGTTATAATTAGAAGATATTATTCACGAAGTATGATTCAATGAGATAAGTTTAGAAAGTCAAAACTAGAGGTGTTGAAGAACTCAGAAGATTAGGATTTGAGAGAACACAAAGAATAAATGCACTGGCGCCATTGCGAACGATTTTGAGCCATGTCATTCAAGGTCTCTAGCCATCGATTATTATCATCTCGCGGACCCCAACCAGGTAGTCGACAATTACCGACATGGCTCAGTCCACTCGTCAATGACTTCATGGATTTCTGCCATGTTTTGGTCTGGCCGCCCCTAGCTTTCTTCCAACCTATTCCTACACTACAAAATAAAGCTCGTCGAGGGAGTCGCTGGTTAGGCATACGCAACACGTGTCCCAACCACCTCAACTGATGAAGTTTCGCCACTTCATCGATTGATCTGCCATTCTTACCTAGTACCCGTTTCCTAATAACAGCGTTGCTCACTCGGGTGTCCCACGATATACGAGCAATGTTCCGAAGACATCTATGATCGAAAACCAATAACCGACGAGTATCTTCTACTCTCATTGGCCATGTTTCACAGTCATAAATTAAGACGGAGCGAACCACTGCGCAGTACACTCGTCCTTTAGTCAGCAAACGGATATCTCGCCTACGCCATAAGTGACGCAGGTTGGCAAAAGCCAATCGAGCCTTCTGTATCCGAGCTGAGATTTCGTCAGTCACCAGGCCATCCGCACTGATGAGACTCCCAAGATAAGTGAAGCGGTCTACACGTTCGACCACTTCACTCCCTATCACTAGTTCAGGTGCCGATGCAACCCTATCTTGAAGCAACATTTTGCATTTCGAGGGGGAAAACCGCATCCCGAACATGCTCGCATTGTTGCTTAGGGTAGTCAGAAGACTCTGCATTTTGTCAGCGTCTTCACCAAGTAGGACTATGTCATCGGCATATTCTAAGTCAATAAGCGAGCCACGTGGTCGAAGGTCTACTCCAGAAAATTCAGACGAGGATAAGGTTATATCTAACAGCATGTCTATGATAAAATTAAACAAGAATGGAGAAAGTGGACATCCCTGACGGACACCACTTGAAGTAGAGAATTCCGGTGACAGTTCGCCATAAACTCTCACTCGACCAGTGGTGTTCGAGTAGAGAGCTTGTATGAGGTTAATGTATTTCTTTGGTACACCTTTCAATGACAGATACTGCCACAGAACCTCACGATCCACTGAGTCAAATGCCGCCTTAAGGTCCAGGAAAACAACTATTGTAGGACGCCTAAATGTGTGTCTGTGTTCCAGGACCTGTCGTAGTGTGAAAATGTGGTCTATACAGCCACGTCCAGGTCGAAAACCAGATTGGTTTTCTCGAGTTTGCTCTTCACGAGCTTTCGTTAAGCGTCGAAGTATTATTGAGGCCAATATTTTAGATACTATATTAGTTAGACTTATTCCCCTGTGATTGTCACAAGAAGACTTTTGTCCTTTCTTATAGATTGGGACAATCAATGATTGAGACCAGTCGGATGGGATTGCGTCCAGTTCTCAGATTCTACCTAAGATCTCAGTCAACCTAGCTGCTAAAACTGTACCACCATCCTTAAATATCTCAGGGGTCGGTCTATCAGGACCTGCAGCTCGTCCTCGTTTCAGATTTCCTAACGCTTTTTCAACTTCATTAAGACTAGGGGGACTTACGTCGATTTGCCATTCAGGATGACTGGAGATCGTGGGTAACTGAAGAGTGGCTCGAGGCCAGTTGAACTGATCCCTAAAGTGTTCTGCCCATCGATCCAGTCTCCTGGATTGAGAATAAATAATAGTCCCGTCATTTTCTGAGATAGTCTCACTTACACTAGGAGTCATAATACCAGTTTCCTTGATAAGTCGGAAAATTTGTCTACTGTTGCCGATGGCCGCAGCCTTTTCCATCGCTTTTGCTTTCGCCACCCACCACTGTTCGCGATCGTTACGTAGGCTTTTTATAAGTCTGCACCTAAGTTGACTTCGTTCTTCATCATGTTCAGAGCCAGGTGGGATGAGTTTTCGGGCATCCATCAGATCGGTGGATGCTACTGAGATCCACGGTTTCATTCTAGCCTTATGGTCAACCTTACTAGCAGATATCACTGCTGTTTCCACAGCCTTTTTGATATCATACCAACCTGCTTCTGGATGGTAATCGCTTGCATCGTTGCTTAACTCTCTTTCTAGTTGCTCCTGAAATATTTTCTTAGTTTGATTATGATTAAGTAAAACCCTAAGAGGCTTCCTTACGGTGTCTTTCTTACGTCCAGTAAGCCTCAAACAGATACGAGCTCGCACTAGAGCATGATCTGAATCCAAACATGTGCCCCAGAACGAGCGACAGTCTTCTATCGAACCCCTCCATCGGTGGCTGATGGCAATGTGATCTAGTTGAGTCCAACGTTGAGACGACTTTGGAGGTCGCCAGGTCAACAGATGCTTTTACTTATGCCTAAAGTTAGTGTTTGCTAAGAATAGGCGGTTGTCTGAGCATGCTTGCAACAGACGGTCACCATTGTCTGTTCTCTGAGCCGGGACACCATAACATCCACCTAGGTGTCTCTCCTGCTCACTTAGTCTACCTACTTGAGCATTAAAGTCACCAGCCATTAATACTATATCAGAGCGCCTAGCTTTTCGGAGGAGGTCCGAAAGCTTTCTGTAAAACTCATCCTTAACCTCGTCTGAACTGCATTCAGTGGGGGCATAGGCAGATACGACGAAGAGGCAACGGCGATTGTCCCTATCTTTCCGAGTCCTTACTGTCCCGTTTAGTCGGACAGCGCACAATCGACTATCTATTGGGATCCAGTCAAGGAGAGATTGTTCTGCCCTAGGACTCAACGCTATGCCTACACCAGCAAGACCGCCGGAAGCAGCATCAGGGCTACCGGATACACGAAGAGTGAATCGGGCTGCTTCTTCGTTTTGATAAGGTGGAATCAGGTTAATGACTTTACTAGGATCCTGTATGCGCGTTTTCGAGACGCAGCATACATCGATGGCACGAGATTCTAAAGTCCTAGCTAACGAAGCCTGTTGCCCTATTTGACACAATGTCCGTACATTAAAAGCTCCAACATGTAGTCTAGAGCGAGGTTTAAGGAGACCAGGAACGACGTTTCGTGAACTCGTATCTTCTGCATTAGCTGTGCACTGTGATCAATGAATGTGAGAAGAGTTAGTCGTGGAGATAAGAGAGGTATTAGGGGGTGTAGGAAGGATTTGATTTTGACCACTTCGGTCTAGTGTGCTGTTATGGGTATGAGGGCGGTTGTCACTTCCCGGCTGCCCACACCGTGGTAGGTTGTTTCTTGAGGAACCTGAAAAGGAAGATAGATTAGGGTTGGTGCGTGACCGCAGAGCCCAAGGGACAACTGCTTTAGGCCGGTCACGCACGGCCTTTTTATGAGAGGTATTTGGAGGATTAGCTCCGTTCTTAAAGGCCCTTAGTGGGCACCCTTACCAAGGAGACGGAAATCCGTGAGTTAGGGGAGGTGTGACATTTTTAGGGTCGACCTTTTCTAACCCTTCCTTCCTTGTGAGAAGGCAGCATCTCTGCAGATGCCGGTTTTCCGAGGGCAACTGCTGTCACACCCCTGTGCAGTCAGCAATACGACTTCGCCCTCAGACCTTGAGTATCTGTTTTTAGTCTCATCGTTCTCGAATCGATCTGCTTGGCATGGTAGCAGTAATTGGACAGATTAGAATTCAAGGATATAATTCAAAAAGTATAATTTAATGAGGAAAATTTAGAAAGAGAAAGATAGACAGGATGAGGAATTCAGAAGTTTGGGACTAAATACACGTGCGCCATGGTAAACGATTTTGATCCATGCCATTGCAAGTCTCTAACCATCGATTACTATCATCTCGCGGGCCCCAACCAGGTAGTCAGTCGACACCTACCGACATGACTCAGTCCACTTGTCAATGACTTCATGGATATCTGTCATGTTTTATTCTGGCCGCCCCTAACTTCCAACCTACTCCTACACTACAAAACAAAGCTCGTCGAGGCAGTCGGTGGTTAGGCATACGCAGCAGATGTCCCAACCACCTCAATTGATGAAGTTTCATTACTTCATCTTTTGTTCTTCTGTTCTTACCTAGCAATCGTTTCCTAATAACAGCGTTGCTTACTCAGTTGTCCCAGGATATACGAGCAATGCTTCGAATATACCTATGATCAAAAACCAGTAACCTACGAGTATCTACCATTTGTCAGTGACTTCATGGATTTCTGATGTAATTATTAAACATACTACTGTTTTCAGTACCTGTTTTTAATACTATTGCATGTTATCGAAGTTATACGAATTTCTAAATTTAATGCATAAGTACTGTGTATCAATCTGCAATGCTTGTATAGTCATCTAATGGTATCATTATTCGATTATTTATTTCTCTACTCCCTACGACCTTATCATGATTATACATTGTAACTGTGCATATGTTTATTTTCAAATTTAGCTTATCAATTTGTCACGTGGAAAATTACAGAAAATCACAAATGGACAAATGAAATGTTTTCAGCGACCGATACAAACACTTTCAAAGGTCAAATTACTCAAACAATTTGGTACAGTTTAAGCATTCAACGATTTGATGGTTCTTCTACAGAATTACACTTCAGTGTGAATTACTTGACTATTGTAAATCTTTTTTGAGAAAATTTAAATAAATATTTATCCCTACACAATATTCTCAACAACTGACCAATCTAGTAGATTCAATTATCGAAAACAAACTGAATTCATACGACTTACTACATCATGGAAAATTAGACAACTATTTGCATACGTTCTGTAAAAATTTTTCTATTCATACAGAACCACCACTGTGCATGGAAAAATGTCATCCAATCATTGTGTAAATTTTTCCCGACCGTAGCTGCCACCTTGACGTGGTAGTCGGGCTTGCCTATCGTGATGACCCGACCGAGCTATACTGGCTGGAACATATGTTCCTGCAGGTCCTACCATGCCAGGCAGGTCGATTGGAGAGTGATGAGACTAAAAGCAGCTACTCAAGGTCTGAGGGCGAAGTCGTACTGCTGACTGTAGAGGGGTGTTACAGCAGTAAGGTGTTTCCCTCGGACAACCAGCATCTGCAGCGATGCTGCCTTCTCACAAGGAAGGAAGGGTTAGAAAAGGTCGACCCTAAAAATGTCACACCTCACCCTACCTCACGGATTTCCATCTCCGTCGGTAAGGGTGCCCACTAAGGGCCCTTAAGAGCGGAGCTAATACTCAAAAAACCCTTCATCAAAAGGCCGTGCGTGACCGGCGTCAAGGAGTTGTCCACTGGGCTCTGTGGTGACGCACCCAGGTCTTTAATACCAACACTAATCTAGCTCCCTTTTCAAGTTCCTCAAGAAACAACGTTCCACGGTGTGGGCAGCCGAGAAGTAACAACCGCCCTCATACCCGTAACAGCACACTAGACCGAAGTGGTCAAAATCAAATCCTTCCTACACCCCCTAATACCTCTCTTATCTCCACGACTAACTCTTCTCACATTCCTTTATCACACCGCACAGCTAATGCAAACGATGCGAGTTCACGAAAAGTTATTCCTGGTCTCCTGAAATCCCGCTCTAGATTACATGTTGGAGCATTTAATGTACGGACATTGTGTCGAACAGGGCAACAGGCTTCGTTAGCTAGGACATTAGAATCTCACTCAATCGATGTATGCTGCGTCTCGGAAACGCGCATACAGGATCCTAGTAAAATCAATAATTTGATTTCAGCAACAAAGAAGCAGCTCGTGTATCCGGTAGCCCTGATGCTGCTTCTAGGGGTCTCGCTGGTGTAGGTATAGCATTGAATCGTAGGGCAGAACAATCTCTCCTTGACTGGATCCCAATAGATAGTCGCTTGTGCGCTGTCCGACTAAACGGGACAGTAAGGACTCGGACAATCGCCGTTGCCTCTTCATCGTATCTGCTATGCCCCCACTGACTGCAGTTCAGACGAGGATGAAGATGAGTTTTACAGAAAGCTTTCGGACCTCCTCCAGCAAGTTAAGCGCTCTGATATAGTATTGATGGCTGGTGACTTCAATGCTCAAGTAGGTAGATTAAGTGAAAATGAAAGACATTTAGGTGTAAATAATCGTGTCATGGCTCAAAAAACAGACAATGGTGACCGTTTCTTACAAGTATCCTAAGACAACCACCGATTCGTAGCCAACACTAACTTTAGGCATTAAGAAAAGCATCTGTTGACCTTCCGACCCCGAAAGCCGTCTCAACGTTGTACTCAACTAGATCACATCGCCATCAACCACCGCTGAATGATGTTGCTGGCGCATGCTATCTATATTGTTTGATCATACTCCGTCCGAAGACGGAGCTAGAAAAAATGAGATAAGACTCATTGTATTGTGCCTCCCCACGGAAATCTTTAGTAAAAGGCGAAAGATTTATCCGCAAATGAGGAGACACCAGAGTTATGAAAATCAACCGGCCAATGGAATCTATACCACCAATATCACATTACCATACATACACAGCACTCTTTGCAAACCAATGCTTGCATCTAGGCAATTACATAACAATCCGGACCAGATAGCATATAATTCACATAGCCGACTATATTTCATACAAAGTTCTTACCAAATATTTGAATTATTGACACTGCAAGCACTAGTTCAACTGATCCATACGTTCACAATATCACATACATTGTCGCTGATTCACTCTATTTCAGTAGGATGGTGATTTTGGCGAAAATTTGCCGACACCGATTTCATTCAACCGGTCACCAGACCATATTCACCCATTGAAAACGAACCACATCTAGGCGTAAGTGAGAGAACACGTGGAGGCAGCAGATAATGAAACAGTCAGTGAGCATGGTTTGCAGACAAATTCAATGGTTGAACACACACACAATGCAATTAAATTGAACCAAGTCACTGTATTGAATTGTCAACATGCAATGATGATTACTATAATTAGGTGTGTGCAGTTGATGCTGTCTACATGGCGTTGACATATTGTCCAACCGACTAATTGTCAACGTTGTTGTCATCTAGTCAATGTAATGATGAAATTCAGTGAATGATCTGTTGAATTGTTGTGATTATTGCAAATGATAAGTGTTTTTTGCGTTGCTGATTGTGTAGTGTCAGTGTGCATGAGACAATGTGATGAGATGATAGAATAGGAAGGAGGTGAATCAGTTGACAAGAATTCTTGATTGACTGAATAGACTAGCTAGTAGGTAAGTAGTAAAGTAAGTGATAAATATGTAGTGTTGCACATAGTCACTGTGACATAATATTATGATGATGTTGCTGGCGCATGCTATCTATATTGTTTGATCATACTCCGTCCGAAGACGGAGCTAGAAAAAATGAGATAAGACTCATTGTATTGTGCCTCCCCACGGAAATCTTTAGTAAAAGGCGAAAGATTTATCCGCAAATGAGGAGACACCAGAGTTATGAAAATCAACCGGCCAATGGAATCTATACCACTAATATCACATTACCATACATACACAGCACTCTTTGCAAACCAATGCTTGCATCTAGGCAATTACATAACAATCCGGACCAGATAGCATATAATTCACATAGCCGGCTATATTTCATACAAAATTCTTACCAAATATTTGAATTATTGACACTGCAAGCACTAGTTCAACTGATCCATACGTTCACAATATCACATACATTGTCGCTGATTCACTCTATTTCAGTAGGATGGTGATTTTGGCGAAAATTTGCCGACACCGATTTCATTCAACCGGTCACCAGACCATATTCACCCATTGAAAACGAACCACATCTAGGCGTAAGTGAGAGAACACGTGGAGGCAGCAGATAATGAAACAGTCAGTGAGCATGGTTTGCAGACAAATTCAATGGTTGAACACACACACAATGCAATTAAATTGAACCAAGTCACTGTATTGAATTGTCAACATGCAATGATGATTACTATAATTAGGTGTGTGCAGTTGATGCTGTCTACATGGCATGACATATTGTCCAACCGACTAATTGTCAACGTTGTTGTCATCTAGTCAATGTAATGATGAAATTCAGTGAATGATCTGTTGAATTGTTGTGATTATTGCAAATGATAAGTGTTTTTTGCGTTGCTGATTGTGTAGTGTCAGTGTGCATGAGACAATGTGATGAGATGATAGAATAGGAAGGAGGTGAATCAGTTGACAAGAATTCTTGATTGACTGAATAGACTAGCTAGTGGTAAGTAGTAAAGTAAGTGATAAATATGTAGTGTTGCACATAGTCACTGTGACATAATATTATGATGATGTTGCTGGCGCATGCTATCTATATTGTTTGATCATACTCCGTCCGAAGACGGAGCTAGAAAAAATGAGATAAGACTCATTGTATTGTGCCTCCCCACGGAAATCTTTAGTAAAAGGCGAAAGATTTATCCGCAAATGAGGAGACACCAGAGTTATGAAAATCAACCGGCCAATGGAATCTATACCACTAATATCACATTACCATACATACACAGCACTCTTTGCAAACCAATGCTTGCATCTAGGCAATTACATAACAATCCGGACCAGATAGCATATAATTCACATAGCCGGCTATATTTCATACAAAATTCTTACCAAATATTTGAATTATTGACACTGCAAGCACTAGTTCAACTGATCCATACGTTCACAATATCACATACATTGTCGCTGATTCACTCTATTTCAGTAGGATGGTGATTTTGGCGAAAATTTGCCGACACCGATTTCATTCAACCGGTCACCAGACCATATTCACCCATTGAAAACGAACCACATCTAGGCGTAAGTGAGAGAACACGTGGAGGCAGCAGATAATGAAACAGTCAGTGAGCATGGTTTGCAGACAAATTCAATGGTTGAACACACACACAATGCAATTAAATTGAACCAAGTCACTGTATTGAATTGTCAACATGCAATGATGATTACTATAATTAGGTGTGTGCAGTTGATGCTGTCTACATGGCATTGACATATTGTCCAACCGACTAATTGTCAACGTTGTTGTCATCTAGTCAATGTAATGATGAAATTCAGTGAATGATCTGTTGAATTGTTGTGATTATTGCAAATGATAAGTGTTTTTTGCGTTGCTGATTGTGTAGTGTCAGTGTGCATGAGACAATGTGATGAGATGATAGAATAGGAAGGAGGTGAATCAGTTGACAAGAATTCTTGATTGACTGAATAGACTAGCTAGTAGGTAAGTAGTAAAGTAAGTGATAAATATGTAGTGTTGCACATAGTCACTGTGACATAATATTATGATGATGTTGCTGGCGCATGCTATCTATATTGTTTGATCATACTCCGTCCGAAGACGGAGCTAGAAAAAATGAGATAAGACTCATTGTATTGTGCCTCCCCACGGAAATCTTTAGTAAAAGGCGAAAGATTTATCCGCAAATGAGGAGACACCAGAGTTATGAAAATCAACCGGCCAATGGAATCTATACCACTAATATCACATTACCATACATACACAGCACTCTTTGCAAACCAATGCTTGCATCTAGGCAATTACATAACAATCCGGACCAGATAGCATATAATTCACATAGCCGGCTATATTTCATACAAAATTCTTACCAAATATTTGAATTATTGACACTGCAAGCACTAGTTCAACTGATCCATACGTTCACAATATCACATACATTGTCGCTGATTCA